TGACTCTACTTTGAGGTGGCAGCTCTTCCCTAGTCATATTTTGAGTGTCTTCCATCATGAGGGGCTCATCTTCCAGCACTATATCAGACAATGTTCCTGCTCTTTATAAGATTTTCACTGGCCAATCTTTTTCAGAAATAGATTGCCAGGTCCTTCCTCCTAGTCTGTCTTAGTCTGGAAGTTCTCTGAAGACTTCATTTTGGGTGACCCTGATGGCATTTGAAATCCAGTGGTATAGTGTCCAGCATCACAGCAACACACAGGTCACCACAGTACAAAAATCTGATACACAGTGGTGAAAATATATATGTAGATACATATAACTAAATATTCAAGCTGCATTTTTAAATGTTTCAATTAAAGTAAATAAAATTTAGTAGTGCTTCAAGAATTTCAAGACATATCCTATATCATTTTGAGTTTGGAAAACAAGATTAGGATTCATTTTAAGACCACGGGAAAGACAATAGAACAAAAATATTTCTTAGAGGCAGACTTTCACCAAATCACTTACCATAATTCTAAGAAATCTCTCCAGCAGATTCTTAGTCACTATCTCATTCCTGCCAAGCTTACCCTAAGTTCTCCTCTTTACCTCAGATTCATATGTACTTTGCTATTAAATAGCCATCTCTCACTACATAAACAAGTACACCTTCTCATTAATTTTCAACTTTCTTCAAGCTACAAGATTAATTATTATTATTTTTATTATTAAATAGGCAGTATAAATACTTCTTCTCCACACACAAATCCCAATTTAATAAAGATGCTTTCAGGACTCTCCAAAAGCAAAGTCACTATTCTAAAACTCCAATTTCTCAGCAGTAATCGATTCCAATAGAGAGGGAGGCCATGGCAGTGGACTAGTGCTTGTTTTTACATTGAACACAGCCAGCCAGACTGACAGAGGCACACTTTCAAGGACAACATGGCAGACACCTGAGTGTTGGGATCTACTCGGAATTTACAATGTGATGGTACCACTGAGGCACCTGAACTCATTCCCTGAGTTGTGATATACTAATGTTTCTGACTCGACGGCACATAACAACAACAACAACAACAACAATGTTTTCATGGGCTCAGCTAAATGAATTTACAGATTTCACTATTTAGTTTTAATTGGTCTGACTTTCACAAAGTAGACACTGGCTTAAAATGATTCGTAAGAGAATCAGGGATTGAAATATCAGCTGTATGAACACAGGTAAAAAGAACAAGACAAAGTACTAAGAAACTGACATTTCTACTCCTAGCATAAACTCTTCATCAGCACATTACAAGGTAAACTAATGAAACCATAACGCTAAGAGTCTGAGAGATTAGCCAAAAATAACTGCAATCACCAAGAAGTTAAAACATGGATTTAGTAATACAATCAATAATTGAGAGGGAAAGATAGAATCATTGCTTAGAGGACAGTGAGTTTCTGCAAAGGGATAACAGAAAAATCTGGAAACAGATAATGATGATGGTTGCCCAACATGATGAATGTAATAACTGTCACTGAATTGTACACATAAAACATGTTGCAATGGCAAATGTTTTTGTGTGTGGGTATGTGTATTTTTACCACAACAACAATAAAAAATTTGGGGGAGATAGCCACACAAGAAAAAATGAACTTTTCCTGTGTGTATATTTGTCAATTATATTATAAAATCATCAAAATTACCAAGACATTTAAAACTAGGCAACCAGAAATTGAAAACAAGCCTTCGTAATTTGAAGAAAATGTATTACTGATTTTAAAAATACTCTTCTTTAAAATATGGTTAATTTTATAAATCCTCCTTTTTTATTTCTCTATAAATGTTTTCAAATGCATACAGCGTGAACATACTGGCACATAAATGAGCACAGGCACAGAGAGATAGTGCTCCTTGATGTAAAACATGGAGAGACATGTACTGGAATGAGCAGCCTCAAAGCTCCCTGCCTTGCAGCCCACTCCTCCCTGGGAATAGAAAAGCTGCCTGTACAAAGGTTTATTCTCTCAATCCTCCTCTCAAATATTCTCCAGGCTCCATAAAAGATTTTTCAATGTTAGGGCTTCCAACAACACATTAGGCACACATTTCAGTGTTAAGGCTTCAGGCTAAATTTAAAACAGTGGTGTAGTTAAGAAATTTAAAAAGTAATTAGTTAATTAAATACAGCAGCTACTTCAAAGGAAAATTTTATTTCTACATAGTAAATTGTGTTTAATCCTGTCTTACGACAATCTAGAGGTTTTTACACATGTAAATTTACCAAAGGCTTTTTACGCTAATGAACTCATCATAGGGTTTTCTGATAAAAAGTTTTCAGACCATATCTCCTTGACATCCCAATATTACCAAATTACTAAAAACCAATAAGGAAACACTGCTTCTAAAAATAAATGTGGCAGCAGTTACTTCTCATAAATGCCTCAAGTTTGTTTCTTTCCAAAATTAGAAATGTGATCGATTCAAAATTTACCATATGAACAGTAAAGAGATCCTGGCGATTCAACATTGGTAGAAAGTAGGACCAGGCAGTATTCCTGCTACGTTTTGCATAGTCGAAGAAAATGCTAACACGCTGATGATTTTCCTAAAAAACAAAAGAAATAATATCACTAATCAGAATGAATTTCACTAATGAATTTAAGAGTTGTGTATTGCTTCTCAACCTTTCACTTTAAGTCCCATTTAAGACAGAGTGAGTCTTTTCTTTCCAGTGTGTATGATTTTCTTCTGTTATTATTGTTATGGGATGGGAGGGTGGTTAGATATTTTTAAAATAAATCTACCTTTTAGGGGAAAAAAAAAAAA